CCCCCCCGAGGTTGTGTCTTGGACAGCGGACGCGATATTTTGGGGTTTTTTTTCTTTTTTTTTTTTCTTTTTTGGAGCGATTTTCTGGGAGGTGCCGTTTAGGCACCTTCGCTTTGAGGGCAGTTTCGCTCTTTGCTGGTGGAGGGATGGCGGGTCACGGCTAAAACCCCTTGGGTCATAGTTCCCCTTGCGTGGGGAGAAACCACAGCACAACTCATCCAGCTTCCCGAAACTGGAATCTTTCCGCTTGAGGAAGAGTTACCCCGATTTGTATTCGGGAGACTAAATATTCCCGGTTATTTCCTAGCCGGTCCTAAGAATATAGGGCATTGAAAATGAAACGCCCCTGGGTTTTTGCCGCGAAGCTGCGGGTCTCCTCTTAACTTCTCTTCCCCTCCGCCCGTATTTCTTTCAGTACGACAAAAGCGACGGCGTTGAACGGCTATTACATCCCCAAGGATACCTGCGTCTTTATCAACCAGTGGCAAGTCAACCACGACGAGTGAGTAGATCAAATCTCCCTGTGCTCACCTGATCCTTTCGAGCAACGTGCCAAAAGCCGAAGGGGTCGGGGAGGGAGGAAAAGGCAGATCGGACCAAAAATCGTGTGGGTTTGATGCTGAGCCCAGCCTCGGGTCTCCTGGGTGTGGAACAACTCTAGGTTGACTCGGTCAGCAAGTCCCCAACATCAGGGCTTGCCCAACTGACGCGCAGTGACGTGGTGACGGCCTCGATGCACCGGACTTTCCACGTCCGTGTGAGGGTCGGCAGCTTTGGCTGCCGGATAATCAGGAATCGGTAAATCCTCCCGCCAAGCAGCCCCTGGTTTTGGGTTTTTTTTGGTGTTTTTTTTTTTTTAAGATGTCCCGACTGATTTCTCTGCACCGTGTTTTTTTTTTTAAATTATTTTTTTTCCCCTCCTTTCGGCTGAAACTGCAGGATCTCGAGCTCTTGCACGCTGAATTAAATCCATCCCCGGTGTCTGCACGAGCAAACACAGTCGGGGTTTGAATCGGAGATTTCAATAGACTGAGCTGATGGGGTCTGACACGTAGTTGGCCTTTTAGATCAGGGATAGAGGTTTTTTTTTTTTTTTTTTTTTTTTTGGATGGTGGAATGAAAAAGCATCGCAATGCTTCTCTCTGCGAGGAGATGGGGGGGTTTTTTTTGGTGGGGTGTTTTTTTTTTTTTGGATCGCTGTCCCCGTGGGTGAAAATGTCTTTCTCAGGGGTGTCTCCTTTCTGCTCCAGGAAGCTTTGGAAGGATCCCTCAACCTTCAACCCCGAGCGGTTCCTCAACGCCGCGGGGACCGAAATAAACAGGACGGAGAGCGAGAAAGTGATGGTTTTCGGCTTGGGGAAGAGGCGCTGCATCGGGGAGTCCATCGGCCGGTGGGAGGTCTTCCTCTTCTTGACCACCATGCTGCAGCAACTGGAGTTCAGCCTCCGCCCCGGCGAGGAGGTGGACATCACTCCTCAGTACGGACTGACGATGAAATACAAGAAATGCGAGCGCTTCCAGATGAAGAAGCGTTTCCCCACGAAGAGT